CAAAAAAAAAAAAAAAAAAAAAAAAGAATTGTAGAAGTGTCAGAAGCAAAGAAAGAAAAAGAGGTCATTTGTGGAGGGAGGGAAGGAGGGAGGGAGAAGATCCTTAACAACCCTTGATACCTTACCATGCTCTTTTGTATCTTCATAACCATAATACACCAGAATGGTAGAAGGGTACTTTCCTGAAATGATCCAATTGGTGTCATCTAAACTACATCAGAAAAATTGTTTGTTTGTTGTTTGTTTTCCATGTCTTGGAAATTAGATATTACCATTCAAAAAATATCTGCTGCACAGCTTCGGTCACCCTCCTCAGTTCCTGGGTGCCAAAGTATGCAGTGAATGGGACATGAAAAGAGAACCTGGTTTTCATGTTCTCTGTGCCTCTTTGTACAACCCTCTTCTCTGCTCTCACTTTGCTCGCTAAATTGTCACCACCCTTGATTCAATTCATAACATTGCAGGATTAGCAATTTTAGTCCAAGGAGCTGAAGCAGTGCTCAGCTTAGGTATGTTTTGCATTTCCTGTTAAAGAAAACACAGAGAAATTCATTGTCTTTCCTTTATAGACACAGAGGATAAGTTAGGAGTTGTGTTCCCTTTGTTCATAGGTTGCTGCCTTATAAATGGATCTGTTGACCTGAACTCTGAACTTCCTTGTTACTGCACAGAAAGTGGTATAAACCTGACATGTTGAGCTGGGCAAGTAGATTTGTACAGGTATGGGCAATGCTTTGAGACCAGCACTGCCCAGTGCTGTTGGGCAGTCCAGATGTCGGGGCAGGAGTTTATGAAAATTGTGGCAAATGGCAAAACATAGGAATAGGCCAAGCCAACAAACAAACAAACATAGTGGAGTAGGCCTCAGACAAGTCAAATTTGCTTCCCTTGCATGCTTCCTCTTCTCACTCCTCTCTCTTACACACACACATTGCAACATCCATTCTGAGAACCCAGACAAAAGGACCACAGCTTTGTCATTCATTACTATCACCCAGAGTAGGTGCCCATGTATGTTTGCTGCATTCATAGAATCATAGAATAGTAGAGTTGGAAGGGGCTATGAAGGCCATCGAGTCCAACCCCCTGCTGTTGCAGGACACCAAGTTACACCATCCCACATATTGTATCTGAACTAATTCAGATTAGTTCAGATACAGCTCTAGTACAAGAGTGGACAACTTGTGCCCCTCCAGACATCTTGTGGCCCTTCATTATCCCACATCATTGGCTGTGCTGGTTCGGGCTGGTGAGCTTTCCAGATCAAAACATCTGGAGAACCACAAGTTGTCCACCCCGGTCTATAAGATTGATGTGGATATCTAGTGATATAGCATGTAAATATTCTCAATTTTTAATTTTCCCAATGGCTTTTTTTCTCTGTGGATTAGCCTGCCTATTACTTCATAATAATTGCTAAACTTATCAGCAAGTAGCTTTCGTTCCTTCTCTTTTTGTTTGCATGCACCTCCTATCTCTCATTTAACCTTTTCCTCCTTCATTCATATTGCAAGAGCCCGTACATATCAATACAAAACTTGCTTAGTATGTACTTTGGTAAACAAGCTAACAACTGATCCAAATTTTATCTGGACAGAACTCATCCAAAAATGTATGGTGTTTCCTAAGATTGGAAATAATCCCAACAGCTCCAAAGATGTTTGAATGTGATGTCAAATTATGCAGGAATTATCTTGAGCAAAAAAATCAACTGTTGTATTCACCCCCCAGAGCTGATTAAGTTGTAAATTAAATGGTTTCATGCATTAAAAGGAATTACTGAAAGAATTACTCAATAACTTAATAATAGTATTCATTAATATTATGCAATAACATATTTGTCTCATCAGTATAGGTTTGTCCTTTACCATTTCCACCCTCAAGGACTGGAAATACACTGTTAACAGTTCACCCACAAACCACTGTGTGCAAATGCACTGTTCACACAGAGGGAGAATAATGTATAAAAATGGTTCACCTGGTGTTCTGATACAGTTCAGAAGCCTTGAAATCAGAAATGGTTTCAGATCACTTCAGATTCCAAGGTTGTTCAAATCTCTGAGGTAAGAATATTCGCCTCAGACAACTGCCTTACCTTATCTAAGGCCAATTGAACTTCAAGGTTTACCAGAGCCAACTTACAGGAAAGAAATTTGTTTGGTAGGATTTAGGAGAAAATTCTGTTTGGCTCACCATTTAATAGAAATCCCAACCTTATACATAAATTGAAACAAAATTATTCACCTTTTTAACTTATCAGAATTTATTAACATGATTCTTCAATTAAGAAGACACATGGAAATGCATAAATTAGGGAAAACTGTGTGCAAAATATTTCCTTTTTGGAGCATACTATAAAATAAAACTTTTTTGTTCGACTTATTAGTGGCAAAAGCATACAGAATATGTTTGCATTTTTGTCTGTATGAAAATACTCACACAAGTGCATATGAATTTTGATATACATATTTTAAAAACTGATGTAGAAATGAGATGGCATGAACAGTACAAACATTACAGAAAGTAAAACAGACAGATCAATCCATCGCTACTGATCACAGCACTGAGAATTCATGGGGAGAATGCTTACAAGGAAGTGTCAGAAACAAGAAGTGAACTAACTTTTTCTTCCTTTGTCCGCTTCAGTACATACTGCCTGGTTCCATCATTGCTTCTCACCTTCTACAGGTAGTGAAAAATGGCTTACTTCAGAAGACCATGTGAAAAATGCAAGAGGACTGATTTACTGTTAGCATTGTTGTTGTGTGTGTGTTCTCCATCTTCAATTTCTTACTTTAATTTGGTGGTTTCTTTTTATTTTTTATGGCATGCTGTGTTTTCTACTGTTTTATTGTTAGCTAGCTGGGGACTTTCTCCTTCTGACAGATGGAGTTAAAAACATTTGAATAGAAAATAAATACACAATGTCCAAACTAATTCTTAACAAGGAATAGAGACAGCCTTCACAGAAACACTGGCTTCTGGCTCAGTTATTTAAATACTCTTCTTCCTTGTACCAAACCTATTTATCTATGATAGCAAAGGAGATTTAAACTGCAACAAGATTATCCTTTGCTTTTGACTTGCTGATTGACATTCAGGAAGCTATCAGTCCTTAAAAACCAGAAAGTGCCAAGCTTTCTGTGACCAAACTATAGCCTAAAATCTTTCTATGATTACATGGCAATGGGTGCGATGAAGTTTAGAGGAAAGGACTTGCAAAATATAAAATAAATAAACAAAAAAATAAAACTATAAACATTATTTTCCTTCAGTTTGGTCATATAACTATTGGGTACACACCACACATGTTTATCTTGATCAATTTTATCTTGATCAATAGGTTTGCTTATGTTGAATTAAAAACTATGCTCGGATGTTTTCAGTTAACATCCTATAAATAAATGACATGAGTCTATAATGACATTTTCACAGGCTTACAGGTAGAATTACCTTTGACCAACACACAGTATCAAAATAATCTATCAAAAAAAATTCTTTGAGATGAGAAAATTGACCTACCTGTGAATTTCAAAGCATTTCTTGAAAAGCAACCAACAGCTGGTTCATTTGAACAAATGAAACCTAAAATTGGGTTGCAATAAAACATGATCAGCCTGTGTCAACTATGAGTGAAATTCAATTAATTTACTTTAAATGCAAAATCATATCCTGTATGTGAGAGTCTGGCACAATTTCATACAGGTTGTCATTGTATTTTATCAACAAAATGGGGAGAGAGTACAGAAAAATATCAGCAGATGTCTAAAAACCAAAGGTTTGCAGCAGCTGTTTGTAGAAGCTTGTTAAAATCACCATGAAACTTGAGCCAATATGCAAGCCAGCATCCGAAATAAAATCACTCAGAAAGAGCAGCTGTGAGTATAGCTTAATGTCAGTGCTTGTGATGTTAAGACTTGCCTTACCAGTCCCAAAACAAAGCACCATCCACTCCAAAACCTCTGCAGAGGTCTCAGCAGAGTTACAGACATTTGAACTAATCCACCTGATTATTGAGGGCATATTTATTAATGGTACTGGCTTTTATTCTCTGCCATGCCTGTTCCACATACAGTTGCTAGGAGGAAAGCCCAGGGTAGAGGAGAAAGAGTGAATGGCAATATCACTGATGGGAGAGACAGCCCTTGACATTTTGTCTTGAGAGCAAAGATTAGTTTACAATGCAAATGACTCATCTCCTATCCACTGCTTCTCCTCTCTGTGGGCCACTGGGGAATCTTTCAAATATAAATAACAGGGGCATAAATAGAAAGGAATAAGCACTGCCAAGTTCTTAGCTGTTTTATATGAATGTTGCTGCTGCACATTTACTCTCCATCAACAAGATAGCTCACATCAAATTCTTTTCAGTCTGTGGTTAATGCATTCATCAAAATCTCACTAAATAAAAAGCATGAAAACCACCAGATAATCATTATTATTTAGCATCATGGATTTAGTACAGTTAGTAAAACAAAATCCTTCATGAAAACCTATCTTTCCTATGAAAACTTTAAAGTTTTCCTACAGTCATTTACTTTATAAATAAGCCTAACCACACATAACTACATTCATTGCACATTCCTACCATATTTACTTCTGTCTGCATTTCCTTCCCCTTCCTCTGTTGTTTCCCCTGTGCCAAAGTTTTAGAATGTAATCTCCTCAGGGCAGGGATCTGTCATCTTGGACCTTATAAAGTCTGTGTATACTGATGGTGTATCAACAACAACAACATCAACAGCAACAGACATGTTGTTACTCAAAGCATTTAGTTCCATTCACTTCAATAGGAAATTTAAGAAAGTTCCTTTGAAATAAGTGGAATTTCCAATAATACAAAATAGTACAATAGAATGTGGCCAAAGTTATTCCTTCCTGAACAAGTTAGGTTGTACTGTATTCCTGTTTGCCTTCTGTCTTATGTATGTTGATGTAAACTAAGGGAGTGGGGGCGTGGGGTGGGGTGGGGTGGGGTGGGGTGGGTGGGGGTACTACCTTGATCTTTTCATTGGAATTAACTACTTCTTAATACTATACTCCCTGGTTAAAACACTTCTGTCCAAAAGGGGCTTGGCTTCTCTTCTCTTCTCTTCTCTGTTTCCAAAAGAACCAAAACCCAACAGGAAGCAGAAAAGCCCCATGTGTACAGTTTTCCTTCTCAGAGAGAGAACTGTAGGTTATACATATGATTGATCCTAAAACAACACGTCACTGAACATTACTGTTCCTGCTCTGAAACAAGTCCCAGAATTACACCCTTTTCAGTCCACCACTCAGTCCTTGACAATCCCCAGTTTCCAGTCCTAAGCAGACATCAGAAGTAGTTTTATTCAATGCTTGCTGGGCCACCAATACAGAGCTGGTGTGACACATTCAGCCCAGTCAGGGCCAGCGCCAGTGACTGGGATGATCAGTCCTCCTCTCTGATGGGGCTGTCTGTTCCCTGGCCCCCTTAGAGTGAGTGTGCCATGGCAGGAGTGAGAAGCAGCAGCAGCAGCAGCTTCCATTCTCCTTTCAGGGCACAAGAAGAGAGCAACCCTGTGGGTAGTAAGGAGAAAGCAAGCCCCTTCAGGGAAAAGAGATTTTGCTTCAAGGCTTCCTAAAACCTGGAGACATCCCTGCACACACTAGTTCAAGATCACAGTTTCTGTAGGCCTAATGAAAACAAATACGGGAAACGTGTGGATAGCAGTTCAAGTATGGTCTAGTCAATATTCCCCAAGGAGCTGAAGTGCTCATCATCATTCTTACCAACATACATAAATGTTTTCTAATCTGAAAAAATGGGATTAGTAACTTAAGTGCTCCTATTTTCCTGAACTTTATGTGAAAGTTAACATTTAACTATTCGCCATATACTGCCTATGTACAAAACTGGTTTGCCATAACTGGTATCAGACACCAACCAAAACCAAAGGACTTCTTGCTGAGCATCAGCACAAGTTTTTTTCTTTCAAAATTAAATTACAAGAGCCAATTTACACAATCAATTTAAGTAACAGCAAACATGTGATAACAGGTCCCAGCTTGCCTCCCAGACCAAGTTCAAATGTAACAAGATCCATGTGGTTTTATTTTTAACCAGGAAGATATCATTACATGGGCAACCTTTCCCATGGACACTGAGACTTGTAAATCACAGAATGACCCAGGATGTATCTATGGGATTTACAAGATTCCGTAATCAGCAAGTGCTCCTTTAACGCACTATAAGCAACCACAACAGCCATGGATTTCAGCTCAAAATCTCCACCACAAACCAGATGCAGGCTTACTTTTCAGCTGCAGGATGGTTTGGGGATAAGTTGCCCCCACCAGAAAATTTACTTCCCAACATGCCGATCACAACAACAACAGTCATGAAATAGTTCATATTTCAGAATACGTTACTGGATTTGTGAAACTGGGGGCCCCAGAAAGCAGACAAGTACATTTTTAGAATTTGAATGATGTGAATTAGTAAATGAAGAATAATACCTCAATATGCCATCAAAGGAAAGAAAACATCTAATCATGTTCAGTGCTTTCCCTTTTACCTCTGAGAAAACATAGGTTCCTAATCATGACCCCTGCTCTGCTGTCAGTCAGAAGAATATTGATTCAGAAAAGGCTGAAAGATTATAATGGAATGGTGAGAAAATGGAGCAACTTGAGGCCAAGACATGTGTCACAATTTTAGGGGAGGGGGGCTTCGCTGAGAGCCAGTGTGGCGTAGTGGTTAAGAGCGTAGGACTGGGACTCAGGCGATCCGGGTTTGAGTCCCTGCTTGGCCATGGGGCCAACTGGGTGACTTTGGGCCAGTCACAGACTCTCAGCCCAACCTACCTCACAGGGTTGTTGTTGTGGGGATAAGATGGAGGAGGAAAATGATGTAAGCTGCCTTGAGCCCTTTGCAGGAAAAAGGCAGGCTATAAATAAATAAAAAATGCTCTCAATGGTTTCAATGAAATCATACCTCTTCCTTTCAAGGGTCAGACTTGGGAGCGGGAGGGGGGTTGCCCTGGTTTGTCACCTGTGATGCTATCAATAATTTCATATGATGACCTCCTTACATGGTCTTATAATGGATGGTTAAGTTGGTGGTCATTACCACATTATCATTTTATTCAGGCTTGTTCCACAGCTTAAGAATGAAGAGCATGCTTCTGGAGTATGTCTTGCAGAAGGTTGGATTCCCTTCTTGGATGGGTGCTAGTTGTATGCTTCTGGATACTAGTTGCTCGGGAACACAAGCAGGAGGCTGCTATTGCACCCTTGTCCTTCTTGTGAGCTTCTCATATTCTTTTGGTTGGCTGCCGTGGAAGCAGAAAGGTAAAGCATAAAGACCCTTGATGTGCTCCATCATGGTTAAACAAGCAAGTGGTTTCTTTGCCTGTCTCCCTGCCTAGGTGGTATAGAGGAGTTTCCACTCCTCCTAAGGGATTTGGCTTGCAGCTTAAGAGTATATTTGGATCCCTCAAGATTACCACTGGAGTGGCCTCCATTGTTGAGAGTGCTTCATATGAGTTTAGGTTGATAATCAAACTGTAGTTATCCCAGTTGGGTTCTTGCAATGCATTCTGGCATTGAAATGGTCCAGATACTTCAGCTAGTCCAAACAAGGCAGCAAGTCTGGTAACTGGGACTGAACACCAGTGCTTTGTGATCTACGCTAGTTTCCAGTTCATTTCCAAAGTAAGTCAGAGTGCTGTCATTTACTTTCAGAGTCCTAAATGGATTGTTGCCATGTTACCTGAAGCATCTCTTCCAACACAGACATACTAAATCTTAAAGTAATCTTCCGCAACCCTTTCCTGGATGTCCCACTGAAAGAAGTGAAGCAGCTAGCAGTTAGAAAGTCAGTAGTGGCACCTTGACAATAGGATGTTTTCTCCAGAGAGGCTTGCCTGTCACCTACCATACTTATTGTTGGTTTTATTCTTACTGCAATTTTAATCTGCTTTAGATGTTATGTTATTTTATTACATTTATGTATTTTATGGTCCTTTGTCCTGTGAACTGCCTGGAGTGCTTCCGCTATTGGCAGGTACAGAAACAGTAAATTAAAAGCAAAAGAAAAATATTAAAATGGCTGCTTTGGGATTTACAAAGTCTAATAAAATCAGCATCATATTAAGTCAGTTGGGCAGAAGTTGCTGATTTTGATCATGACATACTTTTAGGAATACAAAGAATATTGCAGACAACATGAATTCTTTATTGTTCCAGCTATTTTCAGGTCTTAATAAACAATGTCTCACTGTTCAAAATCTTCTCTTATCTCACAAGACTATTTCCACAATATTTTTACCTGCTCCATTCTACCTGTGACATGTATTTCTCAAAGAGAAAGCAAAGCCCTCTCAATTTTTTCCTGAGGACTTACCTCATAAAAAAAAAATAAAAATAAAGAAATCATTATTTCAGCATTTTGTCAACATGGAAGTCAGATCTTAGCCTTTACTTGGCAAAAGAGCCATCCTGTTTTTAACAAAGATGCCAAATGTCGCTGATGTCATCCTGGAGCTATGGAAGAGAGAGGGATAAACATAATCACTTGATAAGGAACACGTACATCCGGATGGCCACTGCTATGAGAAAGGAAATGAGTAACCGGCAAGTTTCCAATACAAAACACAATGCATGAATTGAAACAGCGCCTCCTTTGATATGAGCTACCTTGATTGGCACATTCCTCCACAAAGAGCATGGCACATAAATGGAATTCAGCGACATACTCTTGCCCATGTGCTTGGCAGGAAGGACAATCAGCTCCAAAGACAGGTGGAGAATTGTCAGAAAAAATATCTTGGCCCACTAGCAATATCTTGGTTCAAAGGAAATTAATGAAAGGGATGTCGTTGATAAATGGAAACCTGGAAAATGTACTCAATGTCATTAAGAGACATAAATGGGACTGGCAAAAATACTCTGTGGCCACTTAGCAAGGGCATTTCCAAGTAGTACCCCCACTTTTTTTCATCTTGCAAACCTTGAAATTTCTCCAAGCTTACTGATATCGCCTCTTATATGAAATGCCATTTGGGCTGCCTTCATAAAGGCAGTTGA